AAGCTTACCACTTACTCCACTCAGTCCTCAGCCATGAGAGGGAGCTAAGAGGCAGCTGCTGAGGCTGCCAGCTTAAATAAAGAATATGTTTTTAATGTGACAAACGCAAAGCAAATCAATGAATCAATTTTACGCAAAAAACGAAACAGAAAATATTCTACCCAACGAAAAGTTTCCGCTTCATTTAATCATCGTTTGGCACTTCACTTGAAGGGGACCCAAAAAAAAAAAAAAAAAACAGAGAGGAAAATAAAAAGCGTGAAAGTATTTCTTTAGTGTGACGAAAACTGAATACTCTTAAATGTTGGGAGTGTGTAAGAAAATAAAATAAAGTAAGCAATTAAAGCGGAGGAATTCTAAACTTCATCTTATAAATATTTTAGAATACAGAAAAGTATATGGTATGACATTATTCGGACTTATAATTTGTGTATATCGAGAATTATAATTATTCATCAGGTGCTTAAGATATGTTGAAAGACCAATGATGAAGTGATATATAATTCATTAATATAAAGGTAAAATATAGCTGAAAAAATGCAAATATATATTGTTGAATCAAGTCCTAGCATTTATTCCTAGATTAAAATTTCTATGCTCCATATACAATATTATATCAGATTGTGTTATATATGTGTTCTGGCCTTATTTTATCATCAAGCAATACCATCAGAATTAAAAGACTTTATTGTTTGCTCTACCTCTGAGGAATTTCGTGACGAAACGTCAAATACCCTTCACAAGGGTATCAACATAATTGGAAAATGTGGAAAAGCTGCGTGGAAAGCTGCCGTTGGGCGTCACGTAATTGGGCACTCGAATGGACAGCCGCCTTTAAATAGGTAAACTGAGGCGTTGGCAGGTGGCAGGCGGCAGGTGGAGTGAACCGCACATTATTTTGGGTCTGCAGGTTCAGTGAATTTGATAAAATTAATAAAAACAATTTGTATTTGTTATGTCGGGTCGGTTGGGTGCGAAATTTATTTTCAATTTGCCGGCGCATTGCGGTCAGCAAAATTTACGCAACGCCCAAAGGCTGGGCGTGGCAGATAAGCCAGCTAGTGTAAAGCGAGCTTTAAAAATATAAAAGAGAAAAAAGAACTCTAAATGAGGGAAGAGAAAAATATGTTGCATTTGCGAGGCAATGAAAACTGGCATTGGAAATGGCAGCGTCTCACGCCAGGGCCATAAATCAAATGAATTGAAAAATGCGTTATTAAATAAAAGGGAGCGCCAGGACCAAGGATGCAGCAGACACGCAGGCTGAGGAAGATGCGGATAGACAGGAGGCACCGCCCAGCCAGCCAGCCATGTGTGCACACGAGTCCAGTTGGTGAAAGACCCTTAGAAACTGCAGCTGAAACAACAAGCATCCGATTCACTGCCAATCAGAGCTGATCACTTATCTTCTTTTTTTTGTAAATCAAAATTCATTGAATCAGGAATCAGAGCTTAATTGATATATTTTACGGTAAAGTCAATAGCTATTGATATTTTGTAAAATTTAAGTAGAAGGCGCAAATTATTTCTGATTTTAATGCTGAGGCAAAACAAACTGTATAGTCTATATATATATATATATATATATATACCCTATACCCTATTTCCGCAAAACAATTGTTTTTCTTATATTTTATAGCGAGCTTTTTAATATACAATATATAATTTAAGATTGTAATTTTATGTATTAAGCTAATGAATATATTAGAGTTGTTTCTGCTCAACATTCCAATACTTCCATCTAGAATTAGACTATTCCGAAATTTGAGTATTTCCGGACTAGATAATTTCTTTATTTAGTGCCTTATTTCCTTAAAATATATTAGATACTAATCTTTTATTGTTTAAAATTTGTCAACAGATCTATTAACAGTTCTTTCGGGCTGCTAGATATTTCAATTCCATATGAAATCGGCAGTTAACAGTTGTTCTTTAGAGTACCTTAACTAGTACTGTTGCTCGAAATACGAGTTATGGTTGTTGATTTTAATGAATTTATTTGTTTATTTATTTATTTGTATAAAAACACCATAACTACTCAGCAATACTAAGACATTCACTGCTTTACTTTAGTCACTGTTATTTAGCTATTTTCCCTCTAAAACTAGCCGTTTTGTGGACATCACTAGGAGCAAGTGTTTGCCTGGTTTGCCAGCTTGCTGAAATATGCGCCCTGCTGCATTTTGATTTACTTTTATGGCTAGACAACTGGCAGGCCAGACCCAACACCAGACAGAGCTTAACGAGGGAGGGAGAGAAGCGCAGGACAGATACATAGAGAGGAAGAGAGAGAGGGAGAGAGAGAAGGATGCCAGGACATGGGCACTTGTTGGGCTTCAAGCTGATGTCCTGCAGGTGTCGGCGCCGCAGCTGATTAGCTTCAGCTTGACGCTAATGCGACGAAGGGGTCGTCGGCGTCGACGTCGACCTCGTGCATTAAAATTCAATTACAAAACATATTTTGCAGCTGCATTACGTGACCATGGCTCAAGAGTCACAATCAAGGTTCAGCCACGGGGCCAACTAAACGACGACGATGACGACAACATCTGCTGCTACTCCTGCTGCTGCTGCTGTCTATTTATGGAGCACTCGCATGGAGAGCTCCCATTTCAGCGCCTCATGGCATTGCATTAATTTCACAGATCAAAAGCGTTGATGGACCGAAGCTAATGAAAATGTGGACTCCCTCACTTGGCCCTTCCCTGCCCTTCCCTGCCATCCCCTGCCAACCCAGCACCCACTCCACAAAGCCCATAAGCGCTTTTTAATGAAATGCGTGGTGAAATGTGGGCGGGAGTTTTCCCTCGACAAGTGTTTAATAAAATACACAAAATTATGATATACCACACTTCATTCTGGCAGCTGCCAAAAAAAAAAGCGATTTTCTCTATTTACGCCAAACAAATGGTTGGCAAATAGAGCGGCAAGAGCGAAACCTAATTATAGATATTAAATGCGCCCCAGTTTGGGCGCTTATGAGTTATAAATCAAAAAAGTATTAGAATTATTGACTCTCTACTTTGTTTGCTAAGAAATATTTAATATTTAGAACTTTATGAAATATTCATATGTTTTTTTCTCTGAGTGTTGAGTGATTGTGGTTATTCGATCCATTTTCTCTATATTACTCACATATCCACAGCGTATCAACTCGTTGCTTGATTAGTAGGAAATCTCTTGCTTCGACAGCTCTGTAAAATGTCTTATCAGACTATATTAAATTCATATAGTGTTAAAGACGTTTTCTCGCATTTAGTAGAAATATTGAATATTTAATATTCATAACCATAAAGTCGAAATTTATTTCATATATAAATATATTTGCAAGGATTTAAAGTTATTTATAATTTAAATTGAATCTCCAATCTATTTTAATGTCAACAATAAACAAATTTCAAAGCTAAATTCTAGCTCAATAAAATTTGTATAATTTTCTTTAGAAAATAGTTAGTCTTCCAAAAGTGGGAAAATACTCATAAAATGTTAAAAGCTATATAACAACCCTATAGGCATTTCGAGTCGCCAAGCCTTGCTGTGCCATAAATTATAAATTTTCGTTCAACGCTGAATCTAAAGACACAACTGCTTAAGAACTTCTTGTAATAAAATACCAGTTAGCCACATTTAAAGGGTTTTAATAGCTTCTACACCTTCTGCTGCTTAGTTTGTATTTTATTGGCCACAAATTGGGTGCTTATTTTATAAGCAACGCCAAACTCAACGAGTGTAAAGCCATGAATGCGAAGGGAAACCTATAAATCGAATATACATACATCTATACTCACACGTCGTATGACTTTACACCCGAAAATTGGAATCCGTTTGGGTCATAGCCTCTGTGTCGCTCCTGTGCACACGTCAAATTCGCTTGTTAACAGCAATATTATTTCCATAGATACCTTTGTTAACTGAAGTGCCAAGTGGCTCGGCTGGGCCCGTCGCCATGCGAGACTGCGTGAATGTATCTCAATATCCCTAGAACGGGATTCGCATGGTGCGAGAGAGAGGGAGAGATTGGACGGGGCAGGTACTTTGACAGGTGAGCATTGTCAATTGTCAATTGTCAAGCTGTCATCGTTGTCGTCTGTTTGGCTGCTGTTGACAATTTGCAAATGACATTTGACAAGCCGCCCGTGGAGTGTGGAGTGGGGAGTGTGGAGTGCAGGAGGAGCTCATAACCCGAAGCTGAGCCTGCTGTAGTCAGCATCGAGTGGATTTTATGCAAATTGGCAATTCGAGCGTTGGGGCATTTGATGCTCAAGAGCCAGGCGGAAGTTGTTAGGGTGCTCAAGTGGCTGCCATGACAATTAACTGCTTCAAATGATGAGTGCCTCCCCCTCTCTCTCTCTATCTCTGTCGCTCTCTCTCTCTCTACTTCTTCGCGCGTCGCTGACACCAAAAGCGTGGCCAAATTGCGCGTGGTAAGCAGAGATGCAGTCAGGCCTAAAGCCCCAGTCAAAGGGAATGCCAAAGCCGGCGGTTTAAGTGCCGTTTTATGGACACCTCACAACAGGCGACAAACTTCTTGGAACCCAAACGCGATACCCAAGCCCCAGTTAAATGAAACGATACGAAACGCTACTCTTCGTTGACTCATTGGTGTCAGCTGTTGGACGAGTCGCTCAGGAATGACTCACGGATCAGCAAAATACTTGGCAATGAAGGCGAACGCATTTGTATATCAAAGCTGTACTCAATTAACAATGAATTAAAGCAGCCAAGTTAAATATTCATGTGTGGATCTACTCTTGCTAAGCTGCTCAAGTTAGATTAGTATATTTCAAGATCTGTCTATAATTTAATGAAAAATTAATATAAGATATCAAATTTTTCGACTGTTTCGGAGAGATTTATGAGCAAAGGCAGGCAGGAATCGCTTTTGATATAAGTTTGAACCTTGATGTTTATATTCATTTATATTCATTTCCTTCGCTAATATGACAATGTAAATATATTTCAGCTGAGTCTTTATACAAACATATAATGTTCACACTTACCGCTCTTCGATGGTTGTCGGCAGCTGGGTTCGGGCCCGCATCATGCTGAGAAAGTGCTTGCCGTGCGAGACGCCGCCCGATGACCCGGTGCCGCTGAGGCCGCTGCTGCCCTCGGAGAGGTAACCGTTGTCGATGTCGTGATAGCGACTGGCCGAGGCGGAGCTGCCCACGCGCAGGGCATCGCCGTCGCTGCAGTAGCCCTGCCCGATGTCGGACTCGCAGAAGTCCAGGTAGGACTGATGGGGATGATGCTGCTGGCCGCCGCGTGCGCCACGCGTTGGCAGCGTTACGTGCGAATTGTAGCCGCGCAGCAACGGACGCATGGGCAGCACCGAAGATGCGGCGGCGGAGGAGGCGCCTGCAGTAGAGGAGACGCCTGCAGTCGAGGAGGCCAGCTGCTCCTCCTTGGACTCGTATATGGTGCCCACGATCTTCGAGGGAATCGTGTGGAACTTGCTGGGCGAGGCGGTGGGCGTATTCGGCGCGGAGTTGTGCATGGGTCGCTGCATGGGCGATCGCTGCGTGGCCAGAATATGCGGGCCTGCATTGTACTCCAGCTTGCGGGGAGTGCTCAGAGCCGACTTGGGCGGCGGGAGGCGGCTGTTGCTGCCGTAGATGCCGCCCGGCTGTGGGGTGGTTGGTTCGCTCAGGTAGCCAGAGCCGGAGTTGGAGCCAGTGCCGGAGTAAATAGCTGATATGTGATTCGAGGATGTCGGCGCATTGGCGTAATAAGGGGGCGGTGGGCTCGAAGGCAGCGCCTTGAGGATATGTTGAGCAGAGCCAAGGGATGAAGGCAGCTGCTGCTGCTGCTGTTGCTGCTGCTGTTGGTGTTGGTGCTGGTCGTGGGATATGTTGCTGGATATGTCGTTTGCTTCACGTTTGTAGAGCTCACTGGGGCCAGGTGCTCCGCCCAGCTGGGGCAGCTTGCTGGTGCCTTTGATGGCCGCAATGGGTTTCGTCAGATTGGGACTCTGCAGCTGCGACGGCTGCTGCTGTTGCTGCTGCTGTTGGCTCTTGGGCGAGCCTTTGGCGTCGGATTTCGAGTGCAACGAGGTCTTGGAAGACGTCTTCAGGGTATTCTTCTCGGCAGAGCCGCGAGCCAAGGAGTTTTTGCCCGCTCGCCCCATCGTCGAGCTGCGCGACTCGTTGCCCGAGAGCGTGGACTCCTCCTTGTGTAGCGAGCGAGCGGGACTCTTCTCCTTCTTGTCCAGCTTGCTGGGCTTGCATTGGTCCTTCTTCTGCTGGGCGGCCAGCAGCTTGGACTGCTTGGTGTTGTGCTTCTGCTGGCTCTTCTGGGCGCTGACGCTGATGCTGGGCGGCTTCAGTTGCGAGTTGTGCCCATCGTTGAGGCTCAGGCTGGAGTCGGAGCGCTCGGAGCGTGCCGAGCTGAAGCCCGAGGAGGAGGAGGTGCGCTTCGATTGGAGTTGCGTTTGCTTGTTGCATGCAACTGCGGCGGCGGCTGCATTGGCCGCGTTCTGTTGCTTCTCCTTGTTGAAGAGCTTCAGCTTGTCCAGCATCGAGTGCTTCTGCGGAGCCGTGGGCGCGTTCAGGCTGCTCGGCGAGGGAATGCCGCTCTTCACACTGGGCGGACGCAGGCTAGAGTCGAGATGGAGCAGTAGACCGAGATTAGTCACAGTTCGTTTGGATAACTTGCAGCGATATAACGACTTACCTGTTGTTGTTGCTCTTCAGGCTCTGGATGGTGTGATTGCTGGTGGGCGGACTGTTTGGACGGCTTGTGTTGAAGTCACTGCCGCTCTTGCCCAGACCCGGTATGGCTGTGGTGCAAACGAAAAGAAGAAGAAAAGATCAGGAGTAAGTCAAAGCCAACTGAACTGTCAGTTCATTAATTCTGCGAGCTCCCACTTGAAGCTGTCCCCGTAGCTGTCAGCTATAAGCGGAGATGCCCGTCGAACAGAGGCGCAGCCAATAAATCAATGCAAGAGGCCAAACGGACATTAAACCTAATTAATTGCTGTGGGGACTGTGGGGACTGTGACTGCAGCAGGGGGCGGCAGGGGCAGCCAAACAGACAAGGAACCACATATACAAGTGTATGTGTGTGTGTGTGACTCTCACGCACTGTCACATAAATCTTGAAAAAATCAACTGCAGCTGCCAAAACATGATGAAGATGAAGAAGCCAAATGAAGACAGAGCAGGAGTTGCATTTGGACTACAGATTAACAATAAATCAATAATACTTGTGATGGGTGATCTGCATAGATTCAAGTGGCTAAAGTATATCGACTTGTATTTAAATTTATAATAATACAAATTTATAATAATACAATTTTATTGGCAATCGGTGAAGGATTTCAAATAGTGTCGCTGTACGAACTTGAAATGGGTCTTAAGAGTTGATTTAATTATTTGCAATTTAGCAATTGTAGTCTTGCAGTTCTTTCAGTTGAAAATGTGAAATAGGAAACTCTGTTTTCTAAGAATATATATTATTCAATTCAATGGGATTTTGACAAACATTAATATGTTTCTTGCATTTTATATATTTTATGTCTAAGAATAAATTATAAAATACCGAGATATGTCTAAATTTCATCATCAATTTCAAATAAAAATTTGACATAAATTTAAATAAATCTACTCTATTAGATAATGATACAAATTATTATAAACAGCTTTCGGTCTAATCTGAGAGTCCCCACTAAATACGTTGAGTATAGCGAAAATTTCATACATCATGTATGTAAGTGCATCAATAAGATTAAATAATTAGTTATTTTATGGTCGGATTTCCTTTTACTCTGCCCCCTTATATTAGCATAGGCATAGAGGCAGAGGTCTGAGACTGCCTCCGCCATTCATCCTCATAAGCTTTCAATATCATTTAAGATTTCTAGTAATCTTTCCTATACAAAGAGATTGTTAGACACGCAGCCACTTGGCTGGATTTCAGCTCCAGTTAACGTGCATTTCACGGTCGATTCCCCAAGGGCAGCTGGCGTCCAACGTGGGGCCCATTTAAAGCCTCAAATCTCAGCCGCACGCATTAATTACTGATTGTTCAAGCTGCAAACAAATCAACTGCAACGGGGCGCTGCTTGAGTGGATAGCGCTCCACTCAAAGCCCCACAAATGTATTCCCAGGCGTGCTTTGATGATGCACACCGAGAGGATTGGGACACGAGTCCCGTCTAGATGGCCAAACCCCTTTTGCGACAAATCTCGGCCAGAAAGGCCAGTCGCTGGGCTAAGTGCATGGCGATGCCCCGCTGGGGGTTGTTTGCCGCGCTGCGGACCCAAAATTTGTTTGCCTCTCGTAAACAACGCAGTGCAGCACGCTGAAAAAAAAAGCTCGCCCCGTGTAAGCCCTGGGGTAGGTTTTCCTCTTGTTTGAAAAGCATTTTTTAATAAATTTCCCAAACCAGCTGAAAATTCATTTCACTTACATGGCGTATGATTGGGTGTGGGAGGCAGCGGGCGCACCTTGTCCGGGGGGCAGCGGCGCTGAACCATGACCGTCGCGGGGAGGGGAATGGCTGTGCCGCCATTGACCTTCGCGTAGGCGGGCGCGATTTGTCTGTAATGAGCGAGAAGTTGTTTTTTGGTACATTAATAAAGTTCTTAAAAAACGTGGAGCCACAGGCTCATCATACATGCACTTCTAAATATATACTTTATGGGCCCTCAATTTGATTTTTATGGTTTTTCTTGCTTTTACGACGCACGCCCACGCGACAGCCGCGCTTGCAGCTGCGTCGTGATTTGCATGAGTTGCGGTCACAGTTTCTGTCAGTTGCGTTTTGCCTTGCACTTATCTTTAACAATTTATACAAACTGCAACATAAAAGCATTGCTGCCCTCGCCTGCGACGCTGATAAATGAATAAATGCAATGGACCCCTTTCTGTCCTTAACCGCAGAGCTTGCCGATTGCAGTAAATATTTTAACAACAGTTTTACGATGCGATTGCGCAAAATCAAATAAAAGAGAAGCGTGCCCATAAATATGAATGTCGCTGCGAAAAGATACTTTTGTATCTTTTATAAACATATACGTGGGCTCGTTAACGGCGTAGCTGAGTAGCTGAACAACTGAACAGCTGAGAAGTCTTCAGCTTTTTCTCTTGATTAGCCGTCGACGTCATTTCAATGCAATTAAATAAACCGCTTGCAGTTTTATAAAGTCAATTAAATTTCATTAGCAATTTAATGCCATTTAAATTGGCTTTCAAACTGTTTATAAAAAATCAAAACTAATTGAACTTTATTACAAACAATGATAATAAAACTATTTGCTTTTATTAATTGTCTGACTGAACTATGCAAACATGTCAATACAAATTTAAAATATGCTCACATTTTTAATGGCTAAAGCAAGTATCATTATTTATTTAATTTTTTTCTTTTATTAAAATTTTATAAACTGATTTTACAGTTATTTTGCAATTTTATAGTTTATTAAAAAGATATATTTAAAAATTGTATAAAATTTGTATATACTAAAAATGCAATTCAATGGTAAATTTTTTTAACAAAATATTATTTTTTATTTAATAAATTTGTTGGTATTTTTTATTTAGATATTTTTAACTCGACATTAATGAAATACGGTTTACACATCTATATAAACTAAATTATATCCTCAATGAAAATGTATAATAATTGGCAAAATAATTCTTCTAACTTTATTAATTAACAAACATCAGTTCAGAGCTAAAAGACAAATTGTTTTCATTATTTAAAAGGAAATAAAAACGTTCAGTTATTATTTTCCAAGGTAAGATTTTTCATTTCTTTTAAATTATGAATGAGATTTTAATAATTAATAATGAAGTTGTGATGCATAAAATAATTTTTTTCAAAGAAACTAGAAGATTATTATCTGTCTTCTTTTCTTTTTATATAATAAAAAGTTTTTATCCAATTAAATATTTCATTAATATATGCAAATTATACTACAGCTAAGCTGCTTCCCAGCACACACTCCCACACACACACATTGAGCAAGGAAAATGGCTTTTCCATTTCTTAGTCAACTTCGCCTTTTTTTTTTTGCAATTACTCCAAACGCTGATTAAAAACGCAAACAAAGTAATAAAAGAGAGACCGAGGTAAACTTTTAATAAGTCGCGCGCATAAAGCTTAGCAGGGGGCGCAGACACAACGCGGGCCGAAAGATACAATTGTGTCTTATTGTTGTTGGCCATTAATAAGACAGGCTAAGTGAAATAAAAATGAAAGAAAAACTGTGCGCAGCAATTGTATTAAAAAAGGCTTATAAAAAACGGCAGCCAAGAGCGACGCAGACAAATGAAGTTGGCAGCTGCGTTGACGTCGACTTTGACATTGACTCGTCTCCCGGCTCCTTTTGCCAGGATGCTCTGGGTCCTTTTTGGCTCGACTGCTCGGCTGCAAATTAAATACAGCAAGACTCCGGCTAGAATCGGAGATGTTTCGGATGCTTTCATCGGGCGTCTGAAGAATTTCTCCCAAATTACTTTTCATATAATTTTATTTGCTATTTGCATTTTATTGTTGCGACTCGCTTTGCCGCCAACTGTTTTGGCCATGTTCCACGCTGTTTGCCAAAGCAGTCAAGTTAAAAGCCAAAGCCGTATGTCTGCCGAGCTTTATTCGCTTCGGCAGGGATGTCGATTGTCTGTCTGCATATGGAAAAGGCTACAAGTTCCTACAATGTGTCTATGCAAACGGCATGTGTGCACGGGCTGCTCGAAAGGTATTGAAATTAAATGATGCAGTGGCCAAGGATATCCCAGCAGGAGTGATACAGTTTTCAATGACTATAGCTCAGTAGATTTTTAAATTGATATAACAGTTAACTGATGTAATCTTGAAGAGAATTAGCCATTTTATGTAGCCTTGATTTGACTATCCTGTATACCAGATAAACTATCTCTTGTCGCAAATAATTTATTTAATGGATTCCAGTGAAGTGCTTCTTCAAATGTTTATTTGAAAGTTGGACAGCGGATGAGCCTTATATTTTCCCAATGCTCAAAGTCTGCTTAAAATCTATCGTAAGCGATAGAAGTGAACTATTTTATGTGAAGGACTTGCAAATTATTTGTTGTCAAATCAACAGATTGTAATTAAATACAAAAATAACAAATATATATAAAAAAAATTATAAAAGTCCTAAAATATTTAATTACTAAACTATTTACAAATATTTTTTACAATATATTATTTAAAAAATTTAAGAAATGACAACATTTAATATAAAGGAAAGAATAATAAAAAGTCTTTATGTTTACTCAAATATTATCCATCAATATTATAGACACATACTGTCGATAGATTTACATGCGAATTGTGTTATCTCTAATCCCACTTAAATATATCTTCTAGACCTCTCTAGCTAACTTCTATAGCAACTCTCGCTGCATTTAGCAACATCTGAGCTGCTTGGAGCAACATCTGAGCTTGTTAACTGGCAAAATGTATTCAGAGTATCAGCAGCTTTGCATCTCCCAGTTTCAGGTGTCGCTGGATGTCGAATGCTGTTGCCACGGTTTGTTGTTGTTGATGTTGTTGTTGCAGATGCTGCTGCTGTTTCTGTTTCAGTTTGCATAGAGCGCAAATTGAATTTTGCGTCTTTATTACGCATTTTTGATTTGTAGCTGTGCGCGGATTTCAATTCGTTGTGCACTGTGAAATGTCATTGACCTTTGTGAGAGCAAATGTGTGTGTGTGTGTGAGGCTCATAATAGCCTGACTGCTGTTCCTGATGGCATTCACCTGTGTGGCACGGCCCACGCAGCAGTTGCCGCAGACCAGTTACTGAGAGAGGGGAGCCAACTATAAAGCGCGTCGTTGACGGCATTTGCTTGTATAAATATGAAAGAGTCTCCCCGCGCCGCACTCGCACCCGCTGGGGCGCCTCCACTGGCTGCCCATTAGTTGCATTTGCGTTGCATTGCTGTTGCTTTTGTTGCCGCACAATGCGACACTCGAGTTGCATTTGTCATGCCAGCAGCAGCAGCAGTAGCTTCTAAGAGCCAGCCACCAAGTGCGTGGCAGGATCTGGCTAGGGGGCCGGGGACCCGGGACTTGGGACCCGGAACCTGGTACTTGGGACCTGGAGCCTGACCATTTCGGGTTATTGCCAGTTGCCTTATTTGAACAGCGGCCAAGTTGCAACTCTTTCGCTTTTATTACGGCCCCAACATATTTACGATTTGTTGCCAACGCCGTTTATGGCTAGAAGTGGTTTCCTCTCCGCTGGGCCCTTGGCTGGGCTGCAGTTGCCTGCAGTATCTCTGGCTTTATTTGTCTTACACGCGATAAAGATTGACAGGCGATAGGAGCAAAACAAATATACCAAACGCTAGCAGAATGACGGATTTCTCAATATTAATTTCAAGCAGACCTCTGACTCGAGTCTGAAATTCCCAACTCTAACCATTAGACAGACTATCTGAACTTTAGATGGAGTTTGCGTTAGAGTTACTTTATGATATCGGTAACTCCTCCTTCTGCCTGTCATACAAATTTAATAGATTATATTATACTCTGACTTCCATTACTATTATGCAATAAGCGTGACTTCTAACGAGAAAAAATTAATGAAACCAATTTTTAATTATTGATGATTACAACTTTATTTTATCTGGTCTTGCTTCATTAAAGAAAATTCATATCTTATATATTCATATTTATAAATTTGACAATCTCTTCCGACTCAAGTCAATCTTTAGAAATCTAGAGGATAGTTTACAACTAAAGAAATACATCTCTTCTTTCTGGAATCGCCTTATCTTTGCGAAATTCGAATTGTGGATTTGCTCGTGCAGTCATGCCTCATGACATACTACACTTAGCGTTTGCTAGCTGGGAAAGTTTCTTCGTTTTTGGTCAGCTCACTTTCACTAGTTCGGGTGTTATTTAAGCCGCGCTCAGCTGAGACTTACGCTGCCGGTGAGTGCATTAGATAGCCAGCGAACACCTCCAGCTACCGGCCAAAGCAATTTCCCGTCTATTGCTAACCCAAAAACCTTTTGAACCCGGCCCCAGCCATTGCTGAGCTGCAGTTTATGCCGTTAAGCTGAGAATATATGTGTATATATTCATAAATTTAGCCACAGCAATTTTTGCAGGCTACTGCGAACGAGTCGAACGAGCTGTCAGCCGCAATAGCAAGAGACAAGAGCTGGCAGGAGCCAAGAAATTTATGTGAGGCCAAAACATGGCCGAGTCATGAGCCGGCTGGCTTGGCTCGCTGGCCCGGCTTACTGGCCTTGCTGGCTGGCTGAAGAGTTTTCGTGAGCATTTTGAGTAGGTGTTGAATGGTTGATAATAAGCGTAATTATGCGCCATTGATATGCCCGCAGGAGTGGCCAAGCAGTTGAAGATCGCGCTGGAGACAGACAAACTCAGCAGCAGACAGCTGCTGCTCAGGGGACAGACGGACGAGCAGCAGACGTGCAGTTAGAAAAGCGCCATAAACCTGTTCCCTTTCAAGAACAGCCTGACATACATAAATATGCATATATAAGCTCAGGAATCAGAGAGATGTTGGCTAGGAGCAGGAAGTTCAACTGCCAACAATTTGATAGTT